GTTCTCTTGGGGGATTTGGACGAGGGAAGGAGAGGAGAGTATGGGGTGGAAAGGCTGGCGAAAAGGACGTACCTCGGACGCTGTCTCGCCGCCCCAGATGTAGCCGTGTGTGAGAAAGGCAAGGACGACACAAGCTCTTCGCCATTCGGGCTCTGTTGTGAGCCGGTCGGTCGACAACACGGGGAGTCGGTCGATTTGTTGGCGTAGGGTTTGCTCTGCGATGGAGATGGAGAGGGTTTCGACTAGGGACTCCCAGGGGGCGTAGTATGGGTCTGGCAGCCTTCTCAACGGCGGCTCCTCTGGGAGAAAGCCGTTAGAAGTAACAGCGTAGTCTTGTAGTGATAGCGGTGGTGTGTTTGTGTGGACGCCCTTGGTGAGGGATCCTGGGGTTTCTAAGGGTGACATGGTGATTTGTGGTGACCCAAGAACAGAGAAAGGGTGTGAAGTCCAGGACTGATACAATTTGCGATGGATGTGTCTGAGTTCAAAGATACACAACATTAAGGTGGGAGAATCATGTCAAGACGAGAACCTTGGCTGAGCTTGGGTTTAGAAGTATTCAACATCACCGCCAAGTTATCCGCTCCGCGACGTCCTCGTCTTCCGCTGTTTACCGCCATCCTGGAACCGGTCATCCGCCGTTGTTTGATGTCATATCCGCACGTGGTCTTGGACGGGGGTGTAAGGGGCGAGATTGCCGGACAAGGATCTATCTATCTACCCCTGGGACCTACCGTGCCGAGCGTGCCTAGCAATGACGGAACGCAGGAAGAGTTCATGACCGACTCTAACGGCTGCCTTACCAGTCAATGTTGGGAAGGCACTGGGCGAAACTTGTGGAACCATGAGCCTGGGCGTCATCGACTTGCCTATTTCCAAGTTGGCGGCCGCAACATGAACGGTCGGCACGGAGAACGGATGGCGGAAGACGGAACGGAAGTGAGTGGATGCAAAGAGTGGATTCCGGTGTTAGCCGCGGCCCACCCGGAGCGGCCTCGGGGCACAGGGGTAGTAAACAGAGGACGATAGTGTGTTATAAAGTATCTCAACGGTGGAACGCCAGAAGACAGCTTGGTATCTTGGAACACGACGTACAGTCATCAATCTCTATTCCACAATGGACACCGAGTACCAATCCTTCGTCGAGACCCTCCGGGCCGGGCAGAAACCAGAGTTTCCGGCCCACGCAAAGACCATCGAGTATGCAAGAGAGCTTGATGCCCACGATAAGTTGAGTCAACTTCGGAGCGATTTCAACATTCCAACCAAGGGTTCTTTACGAAAAAAGGCCCTCGATGGCGGGGTGGCTGGTATGTAAGCCTCTGACCACAGCAAGATTCTGTCTCGGTGCCTAACTGATGCTTCAGGGGAAACGAAAGAACCGAGAGTGCCCAATGGTGTCAGCTCTGCTACAAAGCCAAACGGTACCGTAAATAGTGACTTAAAGGATGACGAAGCCTCCATTTACTTTGTCGGCAACTCGCTGGGCGCCCAGCCAAAATGCATTCGACAGTATATCGACGCCCATCTCGAGACATGGGCATCCATCGGTGTCAACGGCCACTTCACCTCGTTCGACAACTCACCCCTGGCCTCCTGGCAAGACATGGCGGCGGCCTGCGCAGCCCAATCGGTTGACCTTGTCGGAGCCAAGTCCGCCAACGAGATCATCTACATGAACACCCTAACAGTGAACTTACACCTGATGATGGCAAGCTTCTACCGCCCAACCGCCAAACGCCACAAGATCATCGCCGAGTGGAAGCCCTTCCCCAGCGACTCCGTAGGTCCCCTCCCCCCAACCAAACACCACCAAACACCAAACACCAAACACCAAACACCACACTAACCCCCTTCCCCCCCTAAACCAGTACGCCCTCGCCTCCCAACTGCACTGGCACGGCCTCGCCCCCGCGACCTCCCTCATCGAAATCCACCCGCCCAACCCGACCGGCTCTTCCCCGCCCACCCTCACCCTCACCACGTCCCACATCCTCGCCACCATCGACGCGCACGCCGACAGCACCGCCCTGCTGCTCCTCCCCGGCATCCAGTACTACACGGGCCAGCTCTTCGACATGGCGCGCATCACGCGGCACGCACGCGCGCGGGGGATCGTGGTGGGCTGGGACCTGGCGCATGCGGTGGGGAATGTGGAGCTGGAGCTGCATGCGTGGGGGGTGGATTTTGCGGTGTGGTGTACGTATAAGTATCTGAATGCGGGACCGGGGGCGCTGGGGGGGGTGTTTGTGCATGGGAGGCATCATTCTTTTCATCGTGGTGGTGGTGGTAGTGGTGGTGTTGGCGGTGGTCGGGGTGAGGGTGGAGATGGGGATGGTGGGGATGGTGGGGATGGAGATGGGATGGCGCTGGGGTATAGGCACCGGCTGGCGGGTTGGTATGGGGCGGACAAGGCTGTGCGGTTTGAGATGGAAAAGGTGTTTTGGCCGGCGGAGGGCGCGGCGGGGTGGCAGGTGTCGAATCCCAGTGTGGTGGATCTTGCGTGTGTGCGGGCGACGTTGGGGATGTTTGAGCGCGTGGGGATGCGGGCGTTGAGGGATAAGGCGGTGCTGTTGACGGGGTATTTGGAGTGGTTGTTGTTGGGGCTGCTGGCAGACGGGGTGGGCAAGGGAGGGGATGGGGAAGCGGCATTTAGGATTATCACGCCGGGGCATCCGGCAGACAGAGGATCGCAGCTGAGTTTGTTGTTGAGAGGGGGTTTGTTGGAGGGGGTGAGTAAAGAGTTGGCTGATGGGGGGGTTGTGGTGGATGTAAGAAAGCCGGACGTCATTCGGGTGGCACCGGTCCCTATGTATTGCAGGTTCGAGGATGTCTGGGGGTTCATAACGGTGTTCAACAGGGCGCTAGACAGGTGTGCATGATAGCATGACAAAATGATAGACCCGAGAATAATTGTACAATCGTGATACCGCGTCCGAGCTGACTGTTCCCTCCCTGCCACCACCCCCTTCCCCAACTCGGCCATGCTCTCCAATGCTCAGTGTCCCGGGGAAATGTTACAATAAACACCTCCAGCTTCGACCGTGAATCAAGTCTCCCCGACCGTTATCGGCATCTCCAGTGTCAGTGAAGTAGAATCGTCCCTGGGACCCCATGTTACTTTGTGAGAGCTGCGATCCCACTGGTTGCTGGGAAATAATTACGTTCCATGACTTGAGACCGAAATATTTGAGCCTGGTTCTGCGAGAGGGACTAACCAGAACGGTTCACGAAAGAGGGTCCCAAACGTCATCGGTCGTATATTGAGGACTTTTGGGGGGCCGTCGAGCTCCAGCTCATTGTTCATACCAAGGGGCCAACAGGTAGTTGAGTTTATCGTCACACGCCGCACCGGGAACCTTTGCCTCGTGGCTCCTGGGTCTGAACTCTATTATTAGCCTTCCGGAACCCAAAAACTGGTTACCACAAGTTGTTCAGTTAAAAGGACCATGACTACCTAGCAATGCTAGCACTTACGGAGTAGGCCTTGGACGGTAGCTATTAGCTTTAGAGGGCCATCTGCAGGCGCAGAAGGGGACCTGTCCATTTCTAGGCCGAGCCGATTGATGGTTGTATTGTTTAGCGTGGCCTCGGCCAAATGGGACCGATAGGTGTAGAAAGAAGTCTGCGAGACAACGCCGGGGTATAGAGTTCGACGGTAATACTCTGGGTGTTCAGGATGCCGAAGCAGCAGCAAGGTTGGAAAGGTCCCAGGGACTCGCCCTATTTCGCATTGGAGGATAACCTCGAAATCGACAAGACCTTTGTCTGGGGCTCCGGGTTTCACGACGGCCCTTGCCGAGGTCGGTCATATCGGAAAAGAGGACCTCTTCCTTCTCCCAAGTATGTGAGAGGATGGCATATCCAGGGGGAAAAGTGTCGAAGAACTTGTTGGAAAGCCAACAGCTACGAATTAACGTACCAAGGTGATTGGGTGCCAAAAGGTAACGAAAGAGGGGCAACCAGTCCATTGATGATGATGTCTGTATCTCTGTCTGTCTTGTTCCCACTGCCGCGGGCCTCGCCCTGATCCTGAAGACTCATCCTGAAAATACTAATGCCCAGCCACTAGTTACCCCTGAATTGGCCCCCCTAACCGCCTTCCAAATCCAACAGAACTCCTCTAGCTGGAGGGTACGCGTGTTGACGAGCCGCATGGTAACGATCTTGAGATAGGAGCTGTATTGAGTTCTTGAGGCGCCGAGGATGGGACCCAGAAAAGAGAGGTGTTGCTGTAGCCGTTCTTATAGCAGCTGTAATGCGTGTTGTATGAATGCTGCTCGCTCGTCCACTTTGAAGAGTTGGACTGAACCAAGAGCTGTTTGGAAGTGCTGCTATTTCCCCGCACATGCAAAAGGAGGGGAAGGCTGGGTGTCTTGGGCTGTGCTAGGTCAAATCTCAATGTTTCTCCGCCGGATTGGTTCGTAAGGTACTACAATCGTCCTCGTGTAAGGTACCAAGGCACATAGGTACCGACCACATTCACCTTTAGTAACATATGAAGGCCTCAATTCAAGGAACAGAGTTTGTGTTTCTTAAACAGGTAAAAGTAACGTGGGGCTAAGAAGCGACGGATTATAAGGGTCAGCGTGACATGGGACAAAACCATGGCTTCGGACTCGGGTTGTTCACGCCACTTTACATGTCGTTTCTCTAGCTACCTAGTAATCGACAGTTAATATTATTCATCGATGCAGACCCATTAAACATATGGCTGTGACAGCCCGGGCCATGGCGGCCGCCGCCACGGCCCCTGTCTTTTCACCCGGTTGTGCGACCTAGAGTGTTGAAAGAAAATATACACTGTTGTGGCATTGGTGGTATCTGAACACCGGTGTTTAGTGCACAGTCGTGTTTGAGGGTAAGTAGTCTGTGTGGCTATTCGTCTTTGGCGGCGATCTCGGAGGCGAAGAGCTGAATCGAGGAACCCGACTAGCCCCCTTGGTGGGTAATCAGATCGCCGATTCAGTAGGTCTAACGAGAACAGTCATGCCAGTCAAATTTGCCGTGCCCATATGATTAAGGCGTGGCTCGTATAACGGAGCCCCTCGCTTGTCGGTAATGGCATCCTTTCATCATTGCCAAATAATGATAGATCAGCTGCCACTTAGCCCCTTTCCATTTCCACCCCATCCCCTTTCTAGGAACTGCCCTCTTCCAAGTACCTCAAAAGTATCACCAATTTCGACCTGAAAGCCAACTTGACGTTGGAAAAACCTTAACATGTGGGACAGTCCTGACGTCGGTAGACCTTCCAACGGACAGGTCATTTCACAGCCGGACGGGTTCAAATTCACCGACGCTGATTCTAGATATGGGGATGACTACCGCAGCAGGCTCACGCCGGCGAAGCAAGCAGAGCCGCCATTGGGCATCCTCGCTGCATTGGAAGGAAAATGTTTTCGAGGACCGGGGATCAACATGATCTTCCGTCCCAACAATGGCCCACCTCCCGGCACCGACTTCCCCAACCCCGTCAACCCTCCGCCCCCAGATGGCACCAGCGACAACGCCCTCGAGATCAACTTGTACGAGGAGACGCTAAGCTTTTCAAAGGGCGTAGGAAGGGTCCCCAACCGCGGATCGCAGAAGCAGCCCGACATCGACCTCAACGCCATCATGTACCTGCAGTCCATCAACGATGTGACGAACCCCGACACGGGCGACGCCGACGGCACCCCTGTTTCCATCCACATCGAGAACGGCATGTTCATGCACGTCCCCAGCAGCGACGTAAATCCGAAGATCGGTACAACCATCGGGAGATGCGGCACCATCCCCCATGGCGTGGCCATCCACCTGCAGGGCTTCGCACCCTCCTCGCCATCCACGCACAAGGCCGGGCCTCCTCACATTCCGTCTATCAACACAACACCGTTCCAGACCAACAGTCCGAGCACCCAAGTCACCTTCCCCTCCCTCATGGCCGCCAACCAGGACACGCCCCGCATCCCACAGGACCTGACAAACTTCATACAGCAGGGCACCATCACGCAGGAGATCCTCAACGACCCAACCACCATCCTCCGCAACGCCAACAAGACGCGCAACATCCTATCCACATCAACCCTTCAAATGTCCTCCACCCCCACCGCAGGCATCCAAACCGGCGGCGGCGTCATCGGCAGCGCCTTCCTCAACGGCGACGCAACCCCAAGTCCAACCAGCCGCCCCAACGCCAAACCCCTCTCCGTCGACTTCACCTTGTGGATCGAAACAGTCGAGTACGCCATCCCGATCCCGGCGTCAAACCCTACTCCCGCTTATGGCCCGCTGGAGGTGCTGCACCAAGCCATCAGGTTTGTCGTGCACCCGCCGCGGAGGGTGCGCGAGCCGATGGTCCTGCGGATCCGGACGGTGGAGCTGCAGTACCTGCAGGTGGTGCTGCTCGAGTTTGATGGACTGTCGTGGCCGCACCCGAGCTGCGCCACGCTGAGGCCGGAGTGCGTGGTCGTGCCGCGGGAGCATGATGGTTGGGGGCAGAGAGGTGTGGGGTGTGAGGTGTGAGGTGTGAGGTGTGAGGTGTGAGATGTGAGGTGCTGGGGTGGGAGGGTAACAAAAGCTAAGGTGTGATGGGTGGCTGGCGCTCACTGAAGGCGAGTTTGTTCATCATAGCCTACCTTAGTTGGGATGTAAGGCTTTTCTGGGGTGAGCTTTGAAGAATGGTAGTGTTGCATCATGGGTGGTGGATTGTGGCTAGAAGCACGCGTTTAGTGAGGGTTTTCAGGAGGCACAGGTGCAAAATGCTCTCCTTCATTTGTATGCTTCACGATCGATGAGATTGCAACAGGATGATACTACGAGGTCTTGAAGCCTCTGTATACCTAGTGGCTTGTGCGGTTCCCGGTCCTGGTCGAAGAATAAAAGAAAGGTGGCGTGAGAAATCCAACCTTCACCCGCAGGAGGACAGGGCTTGTACGTGATTGGGGCATCCATGACATCCACGGAGAAAAGCGGAGGCCGAACAAGCTCAGTCAGGACTGTATTGTGCCACTGACTGCCTCGTAACGGTTGTTGAAGTGTCGTGTATTGGCGAAGCGCAGACTCGCCGGACCCGGCCGTGAATCGGGTCGGCTCCGAAACTGCATACTGCAGGACTCTGGTGGGGTAGGCCATGGCAGTTTACTGACTGGACCTACTATGGATTCGCCTGCAGTTGGAACGGGGCAACGGTTATTCGTCCGAAAGTCACACAGCAGCGCAGATGCGGTGGACTCAGGACTCGAGTCACAGGGACTCCGGGGGATTAGAGGCCTGGAACTCCAGATGGGAAGCAACGAACACCAATCCTGTGATTAACTACTAATCTCAGCTGTTACGCAAAACCCGCGACCTTCCAATAACGGAATGTTAGTTGGTTTGGCGATCAAATCTGCGCACTATCATGGCACTAACCAGTTACGCAAGTTGAGGTTGGTACTCGCCGCGCTGCAAGCGTCTGGTCAGTTACACTGCAATTTCGACAGCCACAGAACAACTCATTTACTTGCGTTGGTCTCTTGTGCAGTTGACCCATGTTTTAGGAGCTGCGAATTTGGGGGACATAAGGAGCGGGCAGGCTCCGAATTGGCAATGTACCGAGACCGGCCCGGTTAAAGCGGCCGGCGTCCTACCAGAGAAGGGGGTGCTACGAGGCCGATGGTACCGCCCCGATGATTTCATAGTCGAATGATGTAGTAGTAGCAATCATGTTCGATTTTGGGACTTGTTGTGTTGATTGATGAATGGCGAGGGGCGGCGGAAGATAAGAAGGTACGTCGTTCAGGTTGTTCCTTTCGTTTGCTGGCTGGTTCTTAGCCTCCTTAGCGGTCCCGTGCCCAGCTGCCGGGTGGGTGCACATATCTGGTTTTTGCGCTCGGTATGGGAGGGGCCGGGGGTTTCTCAGAGGATCTGGAATGGCAAGGCAAACAAGCCCAAGAGCTACAGCAGATACAACTTCCATGCGAACGCATCCCCAAGCTGGCTCCTGTCTCTCTCTCTAAACAAATTTGCGACAAGGAGAATAGCCGCCGCCCAGGTGCCCACCCCGGCCTTACAGACCCCAAGACCGATCCCCCAATACCAACAGGACACGGCAGTCTAGATGGCGAAGCCGGCAGCAGCCACCAGCCTAGCGCCCGTATCCCCGATCGCAATGGGCACCGTTCTGCGCCCAGTAAGTTTGTCGCCCTCGCGGTCGCGGAAGTCTTGAGTATGTACCGTCGTGGTGATGGCCACAGCCAGGATGGCCAGCCACCCGGCTGCCTCGCCCTGTCCCGAAAGCACTGAATGGCCAACTCATCTAGATCAAGCTCTCGGATGTCATCACGAAGCTCTTCGAGCGCACCGCTGAACGTTTCTTCTTCGTTGAAGATCACATCTCGCATGATCACAACCTTGTTGAGGACCGGATTCCAGATTCGGAACGTGTTGGACGAGGTGTACCCGACGAGGTATCCGATCCACGCTTTTGGGTTGAAGCGCTTAAGGCGCTCCTCCTTCCGCATCGCCGTGGTGGCCATCGCATATGCTTTGCAGCCGTACGTTCGCAAATTAGTTATGTCGGGCTTTCGGCGCGCATCTCCCTTCGAATGAAAGATCTCGAACGGCGTTTTCCAGCCAAGGCGCTTCCGTGGCGTGCTGTTAAGCAAATATACTACGGCCTTGCTAATCTCCCTCCACAGGGCGTTTGGGAGCTTCGAACTGTCACGCATAGCGGTGAGTTGTTCCTTGATGGTCCTCCGGGAGCGCTCAGCAGCACCATTAAGGGCTTGTGTGTCTCCCGGTGATGGTTCGGTGCGGATGTGCCTGCTTTCCAAGTAGCGTTTTACCCCGGGCAACTTTGAGATGATCTCGTTGTCACTTTCCACAACCTTTACCTTGATCTCATATTGACGTTCAAGTATGCCAAGCAGTTCGTGGAGTGCCGTAATGACCGTGTCGGTTTTCCGGTCCTTCATGTAGAAATCCCACAAGTAACCCGAGATCCTGTCGACGAGCAGCAGGAGCGAGTTGTAGCCGGCTTCATCCGGCTCGAAATCATGGAAATCGAGGGCGAGTTTCTCTCCTGGGCGGAATTCTGTGAGGTTGCGCGGCGCGCGGTGATCTTGGCGGTGCATCTTGCCCTTTGCACACGAGTCGCACTCGGTGGTCGTGATACCCTTGATCCTGGCGCCTTGCGTGCTGTTCATTAGATGTTCGAGGGCTCCCCGTCCGGGATGGCCAAGTCGTAGGTGCTAGCGATACGCTTCCGCCTTCTGTGGGCGTCTCTGGGTCCAGGAATTGAATCGGTTGCGGCGTGTAAAGAACGCGGCACGGCTGAGTGCTTCCGGGATGTACTCGAGTACGAACTGGTCAAAGTGGCCCTCTACAATGCCGAGGATCCTGCCGTCCGATTTCCTGAGAAGTGTCGTACGAGGGCGTGTGTCCCACTGAATGCCCTGCTCTCGAAGCCTTCTGAGCGAGGCGACGTTTGTTGTAAATTCTGGAACGTATGCTACGTTCGTCAAACGCAGTAGTTGCTTGCCGTTAAGTGGGGTCTTCAAACAAATGTCGACATCGCCGTACCCTTGGATACGGCGTTTTCCTTCTCCTGCCCAAAGGTAGTGCTTCTCGGAAACAGTGCGGAAGTGGTTGAAGCGACTGATCTGGTTGCAAACGTGAATAGTGGCGCCCGAGTCGAGAATCGTTGAGTTCTTGAGAGCGTATTTGCTGCCTGTAAACGCCGTCGCAATGGTCAGGAGGCAGGCGCTGACCTTAGCCGTCGCATCGGCTAGTCAATGTTCCTCTTCAACGCGCGATTGAGAATTACTTTCCTTGAGTGCGCTCTTGAGAGGCCGTGTAGTATCCTTTTCTTCCACCTTAACGCGTTTCCTGAGACGCCCAACTTGCCTTCGAAGTTCTGAGTCGTGCTTTATACGCTCCTGGGCGCGTGCTTCGGCAGTCCGCGACGGATATCGATGTTCAGGTCGAATCTCTGGGCGAGCTGCCCAGCATTCCTCGAGACGGTGTTTGTTGTCACAAGCAGGGCAGGCAGATGTTGAGTCATCGTTGTTTCGACGCTTCTTTGATCGAGGAGGCGGGCTGCGGCTCTTACTTCTGCGTGGTGCTGGGTTGCGCCGCGAGCGGTGAGGCTCCAAGTCGTGCTCTCCCTCATCGGAGGTCTGATCCGCAAAAGTGACGAACGCACCCTTGGCGATTGTACGCGGTTTGTCCTTTGGCTTGCGGGTAAGGACCTTGATGGCGGTGTTGTAGCGCTCGAGCGCTCGGCGAAGGTCTTCGAGATCGTCGGTTCCTGCACGCTCCTTGAGGGCGTCGTACCACTCATGAAGCTTCTTGTCGGGCTTGCACGTCGCGTTATAGATGTGGGTGGCGACTGTTTTTTGAACCCAGCTGCTCACGTTGCTGATTCTTTGGCCTTGGGTCTCGTATCGCCACCAGTTAAACTGGAAGTTCGTCACATCTTGGCGGTATTGTTCCTTCCCCGCCGTAGTCATTTCTGAAAGGTTGCGAGGCGTTCCTTGCGTATCGGTGAGCTCTGTGCCGCCTGCGGGCGTTGCGCTTGAGTTGCGCGTGCTCGAAGCGGGCGTGTCCAAGAGCTTCGGATAGTCGGTGAATCTCGGTTCAGTCGGCTGCTCCATGAAGTCGCCTCTAGAGGTGCTTGCAGGATTGATGAGCTCCCAGAGCTGGTTATCCTTCGCCATGTTGATAAAGCGCAGGTTCCACTCCTTCCAGCTCTCCGGGCCGGTAAGCTTGACGATGTTTTCGGTCGAGGTCATGGTCGCGGTTGAGGTGGTCGTGAAGTTCTTGAACTGTTGTTTGTGGCTGTTGCTTCGGATTGATTGTAGGAAGCTTTGTTGCGAGCCGGGCTCATAACTGTTGGAAGACCAACAGCCACGATTCCACGGTTATCACACAGATGATGGAGCTTACAACAGTCTGGTTGGGATTCTCGGAGCAGCCCTGAAGTCATCAATTGAAGGTTGTCCTCTCCCTGTCCTTAGTGGCGGGCCCCGCCCTGACCTCCTTTTATTGCTTCTTGTTCAGCCCCTGGAACACCTTTAGCACGAGCGCATCGGCAGCCGAGATTCTGTGTTTCAAGTGCCACAACTTCCAACAGGTCCGGGTCGCCAATTCAAACGCAGAAAAAAAAGAGAGGGTATATTGTTGGAAATCCAACAGCCAGAGTAGCGATACTTCTGAACAGGGCGCGCAACGTAGTGCAAGCAAGGTCACTGGTACGGGGCTTCAATTCGTGATGCACTTGTCTGACAGTCTGATTGATGTAACTGGAAGAAAAAGGAGAGCCTCTGTGCCCTTAAAAACGCTGCATTGGGCCCAGTCTGGTGGGACCAATAAGCCCCTGTCGTTGACCCGCCGTACCGTATCTTCAGCCACCCGTTTTGTGCAACATATATTTCGACTGTCCACAGTCGGGTTGGGTTCTCTTGACTGTAACTGTTGGACGTTATACGGGTTTAACAAATATTGGCACAGCGCAGGACACGGGGTTCATTGGGGTCGAAATTGAATGGGTTCAACTGATTTCTTGATTGATGATTCTCGCAGATTCGGAAGCCGCCTTTTCTCTGTCCCCAATTCGGGTCTGGTGCCTGGGGCTTACCAAGGTGGCCTGAGGCAGTCTGATTACTCATCCTTTCCAACAGTAACTGTCAGAATATCGGGGTGGAGGCTTCGGATATGAAGAAAACGGGGCATATTTAGCTTAACCATCACTTCTCATTTCGACGGGTAAAAACCCCAAGGGGACCCACATGTCGGAGTCTAAAACAGGGGACACCGAAAAATACAACGGACGCGGAAGAAGCGCGGACAACAACCATACTTGATTGCCTGATTGGACCAGTGAATCCCGTATTCTGACACAAGCCCTCTCCTTAGCTTCTTCACCTCTTCATGGTGCAACAGAGATCATCACCATGACCCAAGGTCCGCACCGTGATACAACGTTTCCCGTTCTTACGAGGCACTATTAATTCCGCACATCCCCACGGATGTGGGAGGCGAGCCGGTAAAGAAAGGCATCACCAAGGCCCTCGGGAAGGCCCAGAACAAAAGCTTGCGGATTGTAGCGGGAGCCTTCAAGCACACTCCCATCCGCAACCTCGAGACGGAGACATGGGTGCCGCCGTCTTGGACCTATATCTCAACAAACTGCTTGCGGACTTTGAGACCAGACTCCAGCGAACCGACCTAGACGACGGCCAGGGCGGCAAGAAGACCGCAGGGAGCGTTATTCTTACCGCCTGGAGCAAGATACAGCGGACTACGCTCGAGGAGCGACAGCAGGGGCCGGCCGCGAACTGTGGGACTGCGGGAGCCCACGGCGGTGGAGAAAGCCGCGAGAACGATCGCGCGCTGGACGGGGGGAACCGTAGATACGAACAAGGTAGTAGAAGAGGCCTGGAGGGCTAGGTGGTTAAAGGAACGGGACGGCAGAGCGATCGCCAGACCGGCGGACGACTTTGACCATCAGCAGGAGACGCTATTCCGGAACGGAACCCTAAGGAGGCACGACGGTCTCAGCAAGGCGAAGAGCTCACTGCTGATTCAAATCCGGACGGGAGCAATAGGCTTACGGGACTTCTCGTTTACACGGGGAGTCCTGGAGGTTTTGACTCCTGCTTGCGAGTGTGGCGAGGGACGAGAGACTGCCGAACACCTGGTAGTGTGGTGTTTGGCCCCACCGTTGACTCGAAGATGGGAGAGAATTGGAATTCGGACACGACGGGACTTTTACTCTGTTCTACACGGCATCAATCCCACGACTGCACGGCTCGCGAGGAGAGTCCTCGACTGGCTGATGGACTCGGGGAAGCTGCCGATGTACAGCTTAGCCAGGAGGCTCGAGCTAGAAGCGGCGGCCTGAAGCGCCCCCGTCCGGAGGCCAGGAGGCCTCCTCTCTTTATATACGCAGACTCACCAGAACGCATCGTTCCTTGATTGTTAGTATGGGTTTTTCACCCGGCCCAGGAGGGCACGGTTTTCCTGTACACTAAATAGCAGAGGGTCCGGCACGCCCTAGGGCATAGCGGAGTACGAATGATAATAATTCCGCACATCCAACCCGCTAACTTCGATGCTCGATATTTGAATCGCGGTCTGTACATGTAAAAGCGGATCTTGCTTAGTAGCGGTGCAAAGCGGATGTCCACGAGCCCGAAGATATTAGGTAGCTTACAGGAACATTGAAGCCCTGTCGGGCTATTCGCAGGTTTAAGAGCTTGAAGCGCTGATTTTGTTGAAGTCGGTCTCTCCTCCAAGCCGTTCTTTCCTCCAAGCTGTCCTTTCCCCCCAAGCCGTTAACAGTTTTTCAGACTCGGCATGCGGCGGTAGGTACTTCCCTACCTACGTATTCAACGATTGGAAGAAGGCACGAACTTACAGAGTCACACCCTGCCGCCCCGGCGAAGGGACAGACTTGACCGTTTTATGCAACGTCGGGCCCTTCACGTCAATGATAGGTGCAGCCGAGATTTAGTACGACAGAAGTTTCCCCGAGAACTCATCGGGAATTAACAAGGCGAGTGAAATGCCGGCCGCCAGCGGAACGGATTGGACAGAAGTGACACTACCGCCCAGGTATCACCAACACCACTTGAGTGTTGGTGCTTGGATGTATCATGTGCCATCTTCGGATAGACACCTAAAGACAATCTCAGCGTGCCCCCTCTGTTCCCTGGATTTCACTGCATCGCAAGGGACATCAATACAGTGGGGGTGATTGATCACGATGCTCTGCTGTGCCACCAGGGCATTGACAAACCGCGGGCTGTTAATACCCAAGTCTCTCTCGTCCCTCAACTCCCCCCTTTTGCTTCCATGTCCGAACAGTCCATAAACCTGAACAACAACGGAAAGGAAAAAAAAAGGAAAATGGCACTACCTCTCGGCGCCATTCAAGTGGTCGTGGTCTCGTACACCGCTACAACTCTATCCATCGTCGCCCTAGCCCTACGACTATGGTCCAAGAATATCCAGTGCCGTCACATGGCCTTTCACAATCACATGGTTTGCGTCTCCATGGCCTTCACAGCCGGCGCCGTAACTGTTTTTCTCGCAGCCGCGTTTGCGGCTGGTTTGGGACTGCATCTCGACTATATCCTGGGGACCGACCCAGCCCTCTTTGCGTCTCATCTCAAGGTATGTTCATCCTTCAATACGGCGAGGTGAATAGCGACGGGGAACTATTGACAAGAGAGCTAAGCATGAGATCATCAACAGTTATTCGTGCCAGCACAGCTCCTTTGGGCGGCCGCCAACACCCTGCGTGAATATTTCGATTTTGTCGCTGTACACTTCGCTGTTCCCCAGCTGGCGATTCATCCTGCTGTGCTACGGCACCATGGTGGTGACCTTGGCATACTTCATCTCAGTCTTGGTCGAGACCTTCGTGCTCTGCAACCCTGTCCAATATAACTGGGACAAGACAATCGCCGGCACTTGTGAGGGACAGAACATAGCATACCTCATTTCGGGCATCACAAATCTAGTTATTGGCGTCTTTGTCATCGCCATGCTCATGCCCATGCTCTTTGGGCTCCACATGTCGCTACGGAAGCGGTTGGGCGTGATCGAAATGTTTAGCTTGGGTGGGGTGTAAGTCTTTCTCTCAGCTCCCCACCCCTCTCTCTCTTTTTTCCCCTCCATCTCTTTTTTCCCTCCCTCTCTTTTCCTCCCCTATCTCTCCAACCCCCCCTGTATTTTTTTTCCCTCCCTCCTTTTTGTCTTATTCCTCGGTCTCTGATATGTCACGTCCAGAATCTGCATTATGTCGATGCTGAGGGTCATCTGGCTCCATAATTGGGATCTAACCGACATGACTTACACTGCCACGCCGGGCGCCATCTAATTATTCCGTGCTGGAACCCACGCTGGGCGTCGTGAACGCATGCCTGCCAATCATCAAGCCGGCCATCATCAATATAGTTGGCCGCCAGAGCGCCCAGGGCTGTCACCATCGCGGCAAGAGCAAGAGCAGCGGCTCCGGAAACCTTGGGCTGTCACTCTTAAACTTCCACAGGTCTCTACCCGCCGGGATTTGACTTTGAGAGGCTGGGCGGCGAGATAATGCTCGTGAGTATCTACGCCGAGCCCCTCGCGGGAACCAATGCCAACAAAACCAGCGCGGACAGGCACATCACTGTGAGCCGGGAGTGGGCGGTGCGCAGTGAGTGACGGAAGCATGAGGGGAGGTGGATGGTTTGGTTGATAGGATATCGCCTCTCCAGTTTTCACCCCCAGAATTGCGCCGTCATCAGTAACTGAAACATGATGGAGAAAGAACAGGGGGGTGCGAGATGTAAAATAATTACCTCATACTGATGGTGTGCTACCATCAAACACTCAGCCGCCCTGAAGTCGCACAAACGTAACAACACCACCTTTGTCAAATATAGGTACTTACGTAGCTAGATACTACCATCAATATAGCCGTCCTTAATGATACCGAGGAATGTACGTTAGCCCTATGATTTCCTCTCCTCCACCGCCCCCTTCTCTGGTAAGACCCCGGCTGCTTTAACCGGGCCAGTCTCGGGGGCAATACCGTCGGCCTCGTGGTGCCCTTTCTTTCGTCTCTCGGAAAACCCGCGGTATCGGGTCCTCATGCTTGAGGCGAGTGGCGTGCACAATAGCGCCGACCTCCGCGTCCAAATCCCCGCCCCGTACAAAGCTCTAGTTCACGGACGCCGATTGGGTTCAATTCCATACCAAACAACAGCCCCGACTCAGCTGGAGAAAGGTTGCCACCAACCAGGGCAAGGCGCTGGGTGGGTCGAGTGTCATCAATGGGCACGCCTTTGTCCCACCGACAAGGAGCCTAATGGACGGCCGGGAGACATTGGACAATCAGGCCTGACTTGGGACGCGCTACGACCCTACCTCGTGAGAGCGTACACGTCCCCGCGGGCGACAAAATCCTCGAGACGGCCAGGGGCATCGGCGAGTGGACCAGCCGTGATAACGATGCCGCCCACGGCTCCATCCGGGCGTAGTTCCCAGGCCCCGCGTCGCATCCTATCCGAGAAGCTTGGGCAGACACTTCCACCATGAGCAGTCTACTCATGGCCCATGGCCACTTTCTCGAAACATCGGCAGGAGCTTCTACCTGTCAGGCCGGTATCGTCCCAACGACAAAGCAGATGAGACACGCATTCACGACCTAGTATCACCCGATCAAGAATTTGCGACAACCTCCACGGCGTCACCGGGCGGGTCGCGCCCATAATCGATCGAACTTTGACAAGGGCAGTTCCACCCCGGCGCGTATCCGAGCCTACCCCGCGGTTCAAGTTACGAGCAAGAATGGCCAAGGTCCAAACAATTGAGGGTAGCGGGAAGAAGTTATTCTCGCAGCAGGTGTCTTGCAATACCCAAAGTTACTGCTTATCCGGTATAGCTAAGTGATGCACCGCTGCTCGCGAAGCAAGCTATTTACGTCGTCCAAGTCGTCGTCGGCGTAGGTGAAACCTGCAGGACCACAACTTCAGCAGCATTGGCTACAGGGCGCGAGATGGCCTGGAAACTCATGACGCGCTTGCACGGCAGGAGCCTGACGCCGTCGGCCACAACCTGCAAGAGCACGCGTCGAGCCGGTCCGGGGCGCTCACCTCGGTCCGAGTTTACACCGTTACACGTACGCCTACCTGCCCGTGCCGGCCCGAGGGCCCAACAAGATGCCGCGCGAGCTTCTGAGGAGCAACCCCCTCCCCGACAAGAGCAGCGCCACTACGACCAGCCAGCTTTGCCGCCCGCGCATGCGGGACCCTTTACACAACATCGCCAAGAAGATGCGGTTGGGCCCCTCAACCCGGTTAGGGGGCCTCCCTCAACATCACGTCACAGACGCCCCCGCGCGCCCGATCCCCCCAGCCCCTCCCTCGAGTCACGTTTTCCGTGATCGCTTTGACATCGTC